AACTAGGCAAGGAGATGCAAATAAATCACCACAGCTAGAAAGAGCATACTAAAATTAGTAAAATTACAAAATTTGGTTGCGAAATGTTGTAAAATGTGAAAAATATAGCCTTGCAAAGTTTGCAAATTTTGTATACTTTTGTATTGCGCGCGACATTTTCGGCCTAATTGTGGTAGGAATTTCCGCAAGCAATACAAAAGTATACAAAATTGGCGAACTTTACAAGGCTATATTTTCCTCATTTTACAACATTTCGCAACCAAACTTTGTAATTTTACTCATTTTAGTATTCTCTTTCTAGCTGTGCTGATTTATTTGGGTTTCCTTGCCTAATTTTAAAATTAGTCTATAATGGGAATTGTCTACTGCACTTTGGAGTTCCTTTCCTACGTAATATAATATGTTGTTGTTTTTATAGATCGCCCAGGCACAACAGCAGACAACTGCTCAAGCACAGCAAGTTCAAGCTGGTCAGGTGCAAGTTGGGACGCAGGAAGCCCAGCCACAAGCCAACCCACAGAGTGTAGGACAGACTACAGCGGCGACACAGCAGCACACCCAGTATGCCCAATTTGGAGGACAGGTGAGATTTTGTTCATGTTGAAAATACAAGCTGGTGGACTCGTGTGAGAAGAGTCTCTCTGAGTTAAGCATGGTTAGATCATGCAGAGGTAGTACATGTTCTTGAATGTGGGTTGCCATGTTGTACAGAACTCATGTGAATAGAGTTAAGTCTCTCTGAGTTAAGCATGGTTAGATCATGCAGAGATAGTGCATGTTCTTGAATGTGGGCTACCTTAAAGTGATCTGATGTTGCACAGAACTCATGTGAGTAGAGTCTCTCTGAGTTGAGCATGGTTAGATCATACAGAGGTAGTACATGTTCTTGAATGTGGGCTACCTTAAAGTGATCTGATGTTGTACAGAACTCATGTGAGTATAGAGTTAAGTCTCTCTGAGTTAAGCATGGTTAGATCATCGAGGTAGTACATGTTCTTGAATGCAGGCTTTGTACAGAAGTCATGTAAGTAGAGTAAAGTCTCTCTGAGTTAAGCATGGTTAGATCATACAGAGGTGGTACATGTTCTTGATTGTGAGCTACCTTAAAGTGATCTGATGTTGTACAGAACTCATGTGAGTATAGAGTGAAGTCTCTCTGAGTTAAGCATGGTTGGATCATGCAGAGGTAGTACATGTTCTTGAATGTGGGCTGCCTTAAACTGATCTGACGCCGTACAGAACTCATGTGAGTAGAGTCTCTCTGAGTTAAGGGCCATTCCATTTAAAATCCACCCCCCACCCCCCTACAGATGAGGTCAGTAAAAGTTTAACCCCTAAGAAAAAAATATCAAAGTGCCGACACAAAACACCCCTCAGAAATTCGTAAACTTTCCCCTTACCCCTCAGAAAAATCGCAGAGATCAAAGGATGCCGGAAACGACTTTTTGAGTCACCCTTCAGAAAAACTCATCCGTAGGGGGGGGGGGGGACATTAAATGGAATGGCCCTAAGCATGGTTAGATCATGCAGAGGTAGTACATGTTCTTGAATAGTTGAATGTAGGCTTCCTTAAAGTGATCTGATGCTGTACAGAACTCATGTAAGCAAAGTCTCTCTGTGTTAAGCATGGTTAGATCATGCAGAGGTAGTACAACATCTTGAATGATCTACTAGACGCTGTTTTGACTTCATGTATTCTACATATTCAGATTTATCAAATCCAAGCTGCCACGGGTCAGGGCGGGACCCAACAAGTGTATATAGCTGCCGCAGCCCCTGACCAGACACAACAGCAGGCTCAACAGACGCAAGCTGCTCAACCGACACAGCAAACCCAGGCGACAGACACTGAACTCTCGCAATCCGCTGATCAGCAACAATCGCAGTGATGACATTCAGTGATGTACATATTATGTAAGTAGGATACTAAGGTTGCTACAATCTATCATACGGGATGTATAAATGTTCGCTAAGCTGCAAATTCGCAAAATTTGCGAAACCTTTATGCCGAGTATGGGTAGTTTGGGGTCTGCTACTGTCTTTACCACTAAAATTATTGTGAAACATAAGTTTTCCAATGCAGAAGGGTTGTTTTTAAAAACCACTTTAAAATAACTTGCGCACAAAAGTGGAAGGTTTAAAACCAGGGTGTCCACAGGCCTTGAAAATCCAGGAAAGTCCTTGAATTCGAAAAAAAAAAATTCCAGGACTGGAAAGTCATTGAAAATCAGTAGAATTCTTGAAAGTCCTGGAATGAATTCCCTTAACCTCCAGCTGTGCCAACATTAGTAATTTTGATGTTTGTGATGTTACTCTGAGTGTATATCCACACCGGATGAGCTTCAAAAATATGCCCGGCCATGGTGGGAATCAAACCTACGACCTTTGGAATACTAGCCCAATGTTCTGCCAACTGAGCTACGCGGTCAGGTCGGTTCGAGTATGTGATATTTCGGAACAGAATCTAGTTCCTTCGATACCAATGTAATCTAGTAATATGTTTTCTGTGAAAAAAAAAATTAAAAAATCATATTGGTATCGAAGGAACCAGACTCTGTTCCGAAATATCACTTACTCGAACCGACCTGACCGCGTAGCTCAGTTGGCAGAGCATTGGGCTAGTATTCCAAAGGTCGTAGGGTTCGTTTCCCACCGTGGCCGGGCATATTTTTCAAGCTCGTCCGGTGTGGATATACACTCAGAGTAACATCACAAACATCATATTCACCTGAATACACAACACCAACACAGAAAAAATTAGTAATTTTGATTAAAATTACTGAATAAAGTGAATTATTTACGGCGAATCCGTGCCATTTTCAAAGATTGTTCCCAGTTCTAGGTCCTTGAATTTACTTGAAAAAGGGCCTTGTGCACACTCTGTAAAACCCAATTTGAATACATAGGGTGCACATTTACAAGGTGTTTTATGAACTATCAAAGTACCAGACCATTTGATGTACATTAAGTCCTACTCGCGACCTCCAAAACTTGATCTTTTTTGTCATAGTAGCCTTTCACGCATAATTTATCACACGCATTACCGATTTATAATTTTATACATGGTTGATTTCTTGCAAAAAGTTTCTAAAACGTTCTCTGATCGTAAAATGTATTTAAACACGAGGTTTCGTCTACCAGTCTGCAGTCTTCGACAGGTACAGTGATACTAAATTTAAAAGTATTCTACGGTGGACAGTGGTTCACAATTGCAATTACATGCAATAATAATTAAGGAACGCCTACGTAAACTCTATAGTGAAACGAGTGTTCTTATAAGTATAAAACTATGATCTGTTATTTTTAATAAAAATCTATATTGTTCTGGAAATTGTTGTCAAAATTCAATGTGGTTGTACTAGTATCACTTTACCTGTCGAAGACTGCAGACTGGCTGTCGAAAGCTCATGTTTAAATAAATTTTAAGATCAGAGAACGTTTCAGAAACTTATGAATCCTGGTCACGCATCTAGCATTTTTAATTTACAAAAAGTTTAAAAATTACGCGTGAAAGACTGTTTGTCTCCATTTTTACAACGGATTTGTACATGGAATTGTCATCAAATTACGTTATTATTTTAAAAGTGTTCTTCAAAGTAAGATAGTAGAAAAATTGACACTAGTGGCGCTTTAAATAATAAACATTAACGGCACTGTATAGAAGTGTACTGAAAATAAATGTACTTTATTGAATAATGCTTTCCCAGGTTTTGAAATTACATTTAAACGAAGTTCGTCAATTACTAAACAAAATTTGGCACCATAGCCATGCGAGTTAGCGCCAAAGTTGTCAATTGGGTGAAATAGAGAAACTAATTCGTGGTGTTCCATTCTATGCTTACATCATCAGAACAGTGGTAACTGGTAACTAGGCATGTGAGTTATCAATTCACTCACATATATAATTGAATACTTGGTTACCTTTGTTCCATTCTATGCTTACATCATCAGAACAGTGGTAACTAGGCATGTGAGTTATCAATTCACTCACATATATATAATTGAAATACCTTTGTTCTATTCTATGCTTACATTATCAGAACAGCGGTAACTATAGGCATGCGCATTAGGGAGCGGTCATTATTATGGCGAGGCGTGGCACCGAAGAGAAAAGGGTTGGGTAAACAAAATTTTGAGTGAGTAAAAGGTTGGGTAAATGAAAAACAAAACAACTCGAGGGTTGGGTAATAAAAATTCATTATCATTTCCAAAGCATTACTCCCTCAAATATTGAAGACTAAAAAGCAATCTCAACAATCATATGTCAATACAATATGTGAATCAATCAGAGTCACTATCTTGATCATTTTCCAATTTGTCATGAGGCAAATGGTGTCTCCAAAGAAAGTACATGTGCAGACAACATGAAACTTTAGACTGCAGAAAATTGCACAAGCAGTTATCAAACTCGTGTCACAGAAGTGGTAAAGGACATGTGTGACAACTGAATGGTATCCTTTTGTAACGATTTTGGCCAGGGGTGGGTATTTATTTTTTAATTGATATTCGAGGTTGGGTAAAAAATTTTTGTTGACTCTTAATGGTTGGATCAGAAAAAATTTTACCAAGAAAAACATTCCTCTTCGTCATGCCAATCCAAATAATGACCGCTCCCTTTTCTGAAAATGTGAATTGTCTAGGAACACAGGCATGCATGCACAAACATACGTTCTCGAGATTAAGTCTACATATCAAATATAACAAAACAAGTACGTATAAAATTCAAATTCAATGCAACGATTAATCATATTGACAACCCAAAGCACATTAGCTGTCGAAATATTTGACACGCGTGCAAAATGCAAATTAACACGTGCGAGGTATGAATTATTTGCCGGTTCATCGTGTGGCCATATAGCTGTCCATAATTTTATTGTATTTCGACATAATTTGCGGGAAATATGCCAGTTTTCCCGTGACAATCGCCACGCCACCAGCCTTGGTCTATTTGTTCGATATTCGTAATGATATCGTCTGGGTCAAACGTCAGCTCGTCTTCATCGGCTGTTGGGAAGAGAGAAAGAGATTAGGGCTTATTTGACCGTTCGGATCGATACTATTGGGGCGCAATGGCATCTAGCACTCCCTTGAGAAGTCCAGCCCCACCCTAAAAAAATCTGCTTGACCATACATTTTCTGCTTTTCGATTAGCGGAACTTCTACTGTTAGCGCGTGTCGATTTCATGAAACGATTTAATTGATTTGTGAGCTCACGAGAAAATACTCAGATTTAGTTAAATATCATGGTTAAATGTGTAAACATGTCGAGGTTGTTATACAGCCATATTTTCAAATATACTGTACTTTAACTATAGCAAATGTACTGTACTGTGCTACAGCAACTGTCCAGTCACGCATACGTGATAAAAATCCGATATAAACTTTATAAACAAAAGATAATGTAAAACGTAACAGAACGGCGAACATGCAGATTCGGCCATCTCAAATAATGGTAATGTTGGGATAGTAGCGTTGCAGACTGCAGAGGAGAGTGGGCAGTAAGGCTCCCTCATGCACCGCCTCATGGAAAACCTGCACCCCTCCTTGCAGATGAGGCTAGATCCGCCCCTGATTGTAGCTTCGCATCAATTCGGTTTAAATGATAGATAAAGCGCTACACGCTTGTAGTTTCGAACGTATAGAAACATGTATAATGCAACGGTTTCATACCTGCTTGATAGTCATACAAGGCAACTGCTGTTACGCCAGTGTCCTAGAATTAAAATAAAGAAATAGTGTTGTCCAACAATTGTTCCAAGGTGTTCAAAGCCATAATTAAGCTATATTTAAGGGCTGATTACATGGGGAGCTTTCAGCCCGGGCTGAATTTCAACCCGGTTGACCGAGCCGAAATTGTTTCATGATTACATGGCAAATGTCAGCCAGGGATGAGTTAGAATTGCAATTCTAAATCGGCGTGAAATCTCAGCCTGGCCTGAAATGAAGTTATTCTCCGCTTCTTCGAAGAAGTTAAAATGTTGTTCATGTCTATTCTTTGACTTCGGCAAGACTGTGGTTGTATTTAAACGTAGAACAGATAAAACTAACGAATATATTTTTCCATTTGGTTATGACTTGATACAAATTTAAATTTTTGATACGTTTCCCAAGCGGCAAACAAACTTAAAAAGTATGTTTAGTGCTTTATCTGTAAAATGATGCTAAAATAAAGAGATTTTAGATGGTACGCCAAAGAGAAAATGATGTCTGAAGTACAGTAAAATTTTGCTTATATTGCCGTACAAATATGGCGTTAATTTTACAGCATCAATGATAATTGTATTTAAATTGACAATATTTAACAATTATTTTGTGTTTCTCAACCGCCAGATACATTTAAAACGGTTGCTATAACTGTGTAAACTACAAAATAAAGCTAAAACAAAGTAATTATGAGAGGAACGCCAAAAAGATTTTAGGGTTTGAACACTTTTCATCGCGCGCAACAAATACCTCGGGACATTGAAAAAAAATTGCCTCTTAATCAGATGTTAGGCGGAATATTAAGCAGAAATTTTTGGCTAATAGTACGCCAAACATAATCTGGTTAATTCAACCATATAGCCTCGTTAAACGTAGCTACGATGATGAACAAATTAACCAGGACTCGGGAAATAAAGTATTTTCCACCACAGACTATAATTTGCCACAAAAAATTCCTACCTCTTCGCCAGCGGCATCGGCGTTGCCATAAATATGATCATCTTCCGGTTCTTCGTATCCGGCTTCCGGTTGATCGTAATCCGCTTCCGCTTCAGCACGTTCCGCTTCTGCACGCTCTTGCTCAGCACGTTCTGCCTCAGCACGTTCTGCCTCAGCACGTTCCTGTTCAGCACGTTCCTGTTCAGCACGTTCCTGTTCAGCACGTTCCTGCTCAGCACGTTCTGCCTCCTCGCGTGCTCTTGCTTCGGCTTCTGCGTGTTCACGCTCGGTGTCGTTTGCCCTCTCGGCTTCTGCACGTTCTTGTTCCTCGGCCTCTTGAGCTGCCCTCTCCCGTTCTGCTTCCTGGAAGATTCAAGATATTCAATTTATCTCACACGTTTTACAAAAGATATAATTACGCATCAATTACATCACAAAATTATTATAATGGAAGGGAAAAGAAGAGAGTTAATTATATTATTATAGGTGGGTACCTTTTTTCAGAAGCGGTATCAATTTCCCGTGCGTAATACAGAAACTGCAAACTTCGCAGGGCTATATTATCCACATTTTACAACATTTCGTAACCAAACGTCGGAATATTACTAATTTTGTGATGCTCTTTCAAGCTGTGATGAAATTTTTTTGACCACGGGTTTTTACGGACCGCTTGTCAACCAATCAGAATAGAGAATTTTGAAAAGTCATATAATAAGTTGACTTAATAACCGTCTGGTTGTTTGTTTTTTTTTCATTTCCCCACTGGTATACCAGCCCAAAACTTTCTTCCACGTAAAGCATTGCATTTACCTGTGCTTGTCTTCTTTCTGCTGTTTCACGTTCTCGTTTCTCGCGCGCCAAACGACGAGCCTTCTCTTCTTCAGCCCGCTTCCTGTCTTCCTGGAAATCAAATCGGAGAAGATTTCAAATATATAAATCTCTTTAGATCAACAAATCTTTGACGGTTATATCGTTACCTCTTCTCCCGCCTTGGCCATGCTTTCAAAACGTGCTTTGAGATTCCCAGCTGCGCCTGAGAATTCAATATTCATTATTTAAGTGCACGCTATACAATATCAATTGACGCGAATTTGTTGCATGTAAATTTACGTTATAAGCCTACTGGTTGCACTGAAACATTCATACCTGAACTACCACCAGGCTTCGCTGTTTTGTACGACGATTTGACCTCCGACATATCTTCAAACGTCCCCGCAGACTGTATACAAAACATGAAAGTATAGAATAAATTTTGATCTAGGCAGCTATAGACTAAATTTTGATCTAGGCAAGAAGAACAAAATCCATCACCACAGCTAGAAAGAGCATGTTAAAATTAGTAAAATTGCAAAGTTTGGTTGCGAAATGTTGTAAAATGTGGAAAATACAGCCCTGCGAAATTTGCAAATTTTGTATCAATTTCTATTACGCGCGGGAAAATTCAACACATTTGGGCCTAAAGTGGTGCATACAGTATATTTTCTTCATTTTACAACATTTCGCAACCAAACATTGCAATTTTACTAATTTTAACATGCTCTTTCTAGCTGTGCTGATGGATTTTGTTCTTCTTGCCTAGATGAAAATTTAGTCATCCATTAAGAGGATATTTCAAGATATTTAAACAGACGAAGAACGTTTATGCATTGCCAATAATGATTAAGGTACTAGACCTTGTCTACTCTGTCTGTTTGAACGCCATATTTGCCCCCAAAGCCAGTGGAATAATCTGAAATAATAAAAATATACATCACGGATTTGTTAGGCTGCAATGGCAGTATAAAATACTGATTATGGGAAGCATATACCGCTTATACAGTAGAAATTATACTATAGATGTAAAAATCTAACAACTGGTCGACAAGATGTGTTCGCAACAGGCTTGTAGCAAACTTGTAACAATGTTGTTATTTTATCAAGTTGCTACAAGGTTGTCACTCACAACTTGTTGACAAATTGTTGAATTGCAGGACGATAACAAGTTGTTGGAACAACCTGTAACAAGTCTGTTGAGCTCAGTAGCAAGCTTGTCAACAAGATGTGTTCGCAACAGGCTTGTAGCAAGCTTGTCAACAAGTTGTAACAAAATGTTGTTATTTTATCAAGTTGCTACAAGGTTGTCACTCACAACTTGTTGACAAATTGTTGAATTGCAGGACGATAACAAGTTGTTGGAACAACTTGCAACAAGTCTGTTGAGCTCATCAACCTCGTAGCAAGTTGTCAACAAGCTGGGAACAAGCAGTGCGAACACATCCTGTTGACAAGTTGTTGGAATACCATTTCTATACAAGTCTGCTGCAGGTTTGTTACAACTTGTGTGTTTTTACGTGCGTGCAGTCCGTTACCTTTTTGCGAGGCGTGTTTCTCTGTTTTGCCTTCGTATTCGTAACCCTCAGCAGACTAGAAAATTATAATCTAAAATTATGTTTGTTCTGACAAATACGGTTTAATTAAACATCTAATTAGCCCATGTGGGTTCCAACACTCTCCCCTGATGGAATAATAAAGTAGAGCGGATCAGGGCACAATGAAATTCAATGAAACTTAAAGTGCCTATGACACGAAATTTCACCCCCAAAGGTTTATGGTTGCATTGTAAAGATCACTTAAAATGACTTAATAATTTCTTTTATAGAATTTTGGTAACTTGCTCCCTTTTCAAGATATTCAACTTTTTGTTTCATATGCAAATATCACCGGTGTGACATCACCGTTTCACGTTTTCAGAAAAGTATAGTTTTCTTGACGAATACGTATCTAAAAAACTTTAAAATTGCCCTTGTATATGTATTAATTTCATAACTGGTAATTAACCCTCTGTATTTGTTTGTAAAACTGTTTTATCAAGGTAAAATATTGCGTTTTCAAAATGTCACTATGCGATGTGATGTCACACCGGTGATATTTGCATATGAAACAAAGTTGAATATCTTGCAAAGGAAGCAAGTTACCAAAATTCTATGAAAGAAATTATTACAGTTGATTTCACGAAACTTTGGCCACGCCAATTGCGAGGTTGGTTGGGAATTTGGGAACTATAAACACGAGATCATCAAATCATGATCATCATTTTAAAATTTACCGCCAAAATGGTTTGCAATTTGCGAACTTGCTTGCGAACTTGGTTCGGAATTTCACAACGAATTTCGATAATTTGATGCGAAACTTCCGAATTTGATTGGCCGGTTTCCAATCAACTTGATGATCTCGTGTTTATAGTTCCCAAATTCCCAACCAACCTCGCAACTGGCGCGGCCAAAGTTTCGTGAAATCAACTGTAAGTCATTTTAAGTGATCTTTACAATTATGCAATCATAAACATTTGGGGTGAAATTTCGTGTCATAAGCACTTTAACTACTAGACACATTAGAGCAATGAATACTTTATCAAGCGAGTACTCTACGCTCAGTTTTGAATCTTACTTTATCAACTCTGTCTGTTTGAACACCATATTTTCCACCAAAACCAGTGGAGTAATCTAAAATGATAAAAATACACTACATTAAAGGGATATAGCAATAAAAATTAACTTTATCTTATTTGAAAGAACTTTTAAACATTTTCAAAATTTCCAAAACTAGGGGTGCACCGGATTTCAAATCAGGCCGGAATTCCGGCCGGATTTAACGAATTTTCCGGCATCCGGCTTCCGGCCGGATTTGGAGAAAATCCGGCCGGATTTAAATTTCTGTTTTCACCTTAAAAAGTTCACCAAGAATGGGATAAACCATCAATTTGGCAGCTTTAAAGTTTAAAAAACACTTATATTATTATAAAATATTAAGTTATTAACAAAAAGATATTTAAAAAAGGTTTAAACACAATCAAAAATCTAAACTGACACTAACTAAAAATAGTAAAAAACATAAACCGCCATTTTGAATACTGATTTATCCCCAATTGTCCCCATTACCGGTTTATCTCAAATCCGGCCGGAATTTTTGTCCAAATCCGGTTCCGGCCGGATTTGAAAATTCCAAATCCGGTGCACCCCTATCCAAAACTACTCTCCCAATACCGTGGGAAAACATAAAAATATATTCGACCTAAGTCACCTAACTTGGAACAGCTGCGAATAATGCAACGAAAAATGCAACAAACCATAATCAGCAACGTCCACAATGAGCACATTACCTTTCTGAGAAGCGTGTTTTTCTGTCTTGCCTTCGTATTCCCAACCTTCGGCGCTCTAGAGAAAGAACAGGGCATGTAACTTTCTCTTTTATTCAAGAGTTTCGGCATCTCGCTTCGATAGAAAGGAGGATAAGGGACCGGTCATAAAGTAACTGCTAGGGTGGGCTGGAGTGATTTGGGATGGGCCATGGAAAATCTTTGGGCAGTTTCGATGGGCCGCCAATTTTTTTGTATGTCCACGGTTGGGTCACCAAACAAAAACCCAACATGGGCAGATATTAAATTAATAATAGAAGTAAACAACACTATCCAAATTATTAAATGCAAATGATGTTATTGAAGCCAGTACTTTGTTTTATACAACAACAAGAAGTGGTCGAATCACAGCAAATACAACCAAATGGAGAACAGCTCAGTATCGTAATTGGTGATGAATTTGTTGGTCAACTTGGTGCAATTATGTTGGTCAACTTGGTTTATTATAAAAGTGTATTTTCCCAATTTAGATTGGGTGGGTGGGTCATGAAATAAATTTGGTAAGATTAGATGGGCTTTGAAGTTTTTATCCACATCCTAAGATGGGTCACCAAACTTATTGGCAAAATTTGTGATTTACCTCCAGCCCACCGTAGCAGTTATTTTATGACCAGACCCTAATAGCACATTTACTTTAAAATAAATACCTTGTCCACGCGATCTTTCTGAATTCCATATTTGCCGCCAAATCCTTTACTATAATCTTGGTTACAAAATGAAAAATATTTAAGCTACTGTACATACTGTACACGCGTAAAAACGCACAAGTTGTTACAGGTCTGCAAACAAGTTGTTACAAATCTGTTCACAAGCTGTCGACAAGTTGTGTTCGCACTGCTTGTTCCCAGTTGTTGTAACAAGTTTGGAACAAGTTGTTAACAACTTGTAACAAGCTTGATGGCATTATCAGACTTGTTATGAGGTTGTTCTATAACTTATCCCATACCT